CTTCATCCAGAACTGATTAGGCAATGGAGAAGACAGGCAAATAAATGTTTGGGTCACATCCTTTCTAATTAGCTACTGCAGGGTGAGTGTGGGGTGGGGGTTAGGGCTGGGTGAGCACCCAGAGCTGGTGGGTCGTTGCAGATAGTTTCTGTAGGGTAAAAACCAGTTTGGTGCTTTGCTGTCCCTTCCCTGGGGTTTTGTTTTTCGTTCCCAGTCCCTTCTTCCCTTCCTTCCAAGGAAACCATCTCCACGGCAACCTCAAACCTCCGGGCTCTGCCTCGGAGCTGCTCAGCCATCCCCAGGACCCTGGTAAGTGGCTCTGCAGGGCTGTGGTAGCCCCTGGCTACCAGATCTGTCAGGTTGGTGTGGCTGGGCTGTGTTTGGCAGGGTGGGTGGGTGTAGAAACCCTGGACCTCTGCTCCCTCATCCTCGAGGCTTTGTCCAGCCTAAAAAAGGGGTGGCCATGGCTGTCCTGGTGTGGGAAAAGCTCTGCCCTGGCTCTGGAGGGGGTGATTGGGCTCAAGGAGATGAACCCTCAAGCTGTTTCCATGCAGAGGCCTTGTCTGGGGTCAGTGTGTCGTGGCTGGTCGTGTCTCCTTTGGTGATGCTCTTGGGTAGACCATGAGCAAGTCTGGTACCAATTTTCCATCAGATTAGAGTCCCAGGGAGAGAAGCAGGGCCAGCACTTGGAGAACAGGGACTCTGTCCCCTCTTGGAGCTGCCTGGGCTTGGATGTGGTGTGTGGTGCTGCTCAGAGCTGGGCTGGGCTGCTCTGCTGGTGTCAACACGTGGGCACATCCCTGGTGCCATGTGGAGGGTGGTGATGCACCAGCCTTGTGGAAATGGGACCTCTAAAGTGTGGGGTCTTGGTGTTTCCTGGCAGAAAACAGCAGCAATTAATTTCTGGCATAACTGGCATTAAAGTTGTGGAACTGGAGAAGCAAATGATGTGTTGGGATGGGTGAGATTTGCCCAAGCTGGTTTTGGGCCAAGGGCTGAAGTGGAGTGGGGGGATGGGGATGCTGTGGCTGCAGTGTGGGGTCTCAGCTCTGCCCCTGGGACTCACCCTCACTGTGCCTCTGTTCTCCAGGGCAAGATGAAGCTGCTGAGTGCTGTGTTGCTGGCTGTCAGCCTGCTCCTCACTGCTGCCCATGCAGAGCAGCCTCCCTGGCCAGAGGAGCCTTCCCGGACCTGCATCTTCCAGATGCTCAGCAGTGTGGACAGGGAGTTCTGCAGGTGAGTGGTGCTCTGTGTCCTTCCTCACCTGCACCAGCCCTGGGCCATCCTGTCCTGCTCTGCCCCTGTGTGTCCAGTGTGTCACCTCTTGGGCCACTTAATTCCAGTATCCCCTTTGCCAGGTTTAGAAATACTGTTTTCCTCCTTTTTTTTTTTGGGCTGTCTTTGGCCACCTTGAGTTATTCCCTGACCTGTTGTGCAGAGGCTTTAAAAGTGACTTAACAGCCTCAGGGGTGATGTTTTCTGAGGAAAATTTCAGAGGAAGGAGGAGGCTACTTTTTCATGGAATCATAGAATGGTTTGGGTTGGAAGAAACCTTAAAGTTCATCTTATTCCATCCCCTGCCATGGGCAGGGACACCTTCCACTAGCCCAAGGATGTTCCAAGCCCTATCTAACCTGGCCTGGAACACTTCCAGGGATGGAGCAGCCACAGATTTTCTGGGCAACATATGCCAGTGCCTCAGCACCCTCCCAGGGAGGAATTCCTTCCCAATATCCTCTTGGGAAGAAGAGAGAGAGCAGAACCTTTGCACAGGATGATCCTTGCTGTTCCCCTTTTCTTGGGGAGAAGAAAGAGAGCAGAACCTTTGGTCCTGCTATGACACAGGATGATCCTTGCTGTTCCCCTTTAGTGACAACACCAAAATCCCACATCTCCCTCCCAGCATTCCAACCACATCCCAAGCCTGGCTGGGACATTGGCACTAATTCCCATCCTTGGTATCCTTTCACCCTACCCATTTTCCCTCTCTCTTTTCTCCCCAGGGGGGATTTGGAGATCATCTACCCAGAGCTGGGGGATGTGGGATGCACCTACATCCCCAAGTGCCACCGGTACCGGCAGCGGCTGAGCCGGGAGTGGAGCAGCCCCAGGGTGAGATACCCTCGGGCTGACAAGGTGAGTCCTCTGCTCCAGCTTTTCCAGGATTTTCCTGCCATCAAGGAGTCTTCTAAACCCTTTTCCCCCCTCCCTCATTGCTCTAAAAGTTTGGTTCGACGCTAAGCTGTGGATAAACTGAAATGCCAATTTTTTTCCCTTACTTTGCGGCCATTAAATTGGTTTTTTCCTATATCATCAGTTATTTTTTGTTCTGTTCTTCAGGCCATTTGTAAATATTTTTGCTACCATTGGCCACTGACTGGGTATTTTTGGCTGCATTGTAGCCATTTTACAACGAATTCTGCTACATTTAATAAACATCTCCCATCATCTCCCAGATCAATCAACACATTTGCTACACAGTAAAGTTTATTTTCCCTCCATTGTAGCCATTTATCATTTTCCCTATATTGTGGCCACTTAATGATTGAATATTTCCTACATTGTGGCCTTTTGAAAGACTGATTTAAACGGCCAAAATATAGGAGGAAAAATATGAATTAAGTGGCCACAATATAGCAAAAAATATATAGTGTTTGAATTTAAAATTTTTGCTACATTTTGGCCACTTAATGATATGAATTTTTGCTATGTTGTGGCCTCTTTATGATTTTTTACTACATTGTGGGCTCTTAATCATTTTTTCCTACGTTGTAGCCACTTTTTTTTTTTTGCTACACGTGGCCTTTTAAAAGAAGGAATTAAATGGCCACAATATAGTGGGAAAAATTGAATTAAGCTGCCACAACGAAGGGAAATTTAAAAATAATTTCCCTGCTACATTGTGGCCATGCCTCATCTAGTTTTTGCTACATTTTGGGTATTTAATTGTTATTTCCTCTTGTGACCATTTAAATTTTTTGCCCTATTCTGGCCACATTTCTTTTTGTTCCATCCCTCGTAGCCTCTTTCACTAACATTTCCAGGCAATATAGCAAAAAAAGTTAAATTTTACAGCTTAAATTTTGATTTTTTTGGCGATTTTTTGTTTTTTAGTCCAGTTTTTAAAGCAGATTTGGGCTCAGGGTGGCCTTGGGCATCCCCTGGCGGTGCTGAGGTAGGAGTTGGCTGTGTGATCCCGATGGGATTTGGGTCCAAGGGGGATCAATCTCAAGGGATCGATCCTGGGGGATCTCATATGTTCCCCCCCAATATGCTGTTGCTGTTCCCACTTATCGCCGCCAGGTGGCAGCATTGAACTTCCCCAACTCCAGCGCCTCCAGACTGGGAGCACTGGGAGCCTTGGGATGCTGTTGGGATCCTTTGGATGCTGTTGGGATCCTCCTGGATGCTGTGCCAGGGGACACTCCGGGAAAGGGAGGAGAAATGTGGTGCTGTGTTTATCCTGTCCTCTCCACGTCCTGTTGTTATCCCAAATCTACGTGGCCAAGGCTGCGGTGGGATCAGCTTGCAGTGATCCCAAATCCCAGTGAGATTGTGCTGGCATTCCAATAACTGCCATATCCCACTTATTCCCCAGCCCTGACAGCTGATTTGGGAAAACTCAACTCTTGTGCATCTTGGTGTTACCTTGAGTGTTAACAATCCGTTTTTCTGGCTCTTCCTTGCTGTCTGCAAAGCCTCTTCCCCCTGTGGATCACATGGTTTGAAGTAGAACTTTTCCTTAAAGATGTCTGATTCTTCCAAAATAATCCTTCCTGGCAGAAGCTGCTGCACACAGAACCATCCATGGCTCGGCAGTGCTTTCCAGGAGTTTGAAGTTTCCTAGGGATGTGGGCAGTTGTTTTTCTCTTTATTTTAATCCTGGAAAGCAAAGGAGAGCAGGGAGAAGGGAAAGGAACTGCTATGGATGTTGCTTTGCTGGGTAAATGATGCTGCTGGCTGTGGGGAGGATTTTGGGTCCAGGCTGTGCTGGTGGGATGCAGGATGAGCATCCCTGATCCCAGAAACAGGAGCAGAGAAGTGACCCTGCCCAGGCTGTGTTGGGAGCTGGGTGTGTGGCACTGCTGCCTGGCTATTTTGGGATGGGATGGCAGCTGTGGCATGGGGGTGGCAGGTCCCTGGGGAGCCCTCCCAGAGGGCTGTGGCTCCTGCTGGCATCGGGGCTGGCTCATGGCTCATCTCTGCTGGTGGATTTGGCACCGTTTCCTTCCAAGGCATCTCGGCACATCCTGCGCTGAGGAGGCATCTGAGGACACAGGCCCTGCTGCTTCCCATGCTTTGCTTTTATTTTCTCCTCTGGCCTTCCCCCCAAAAGCACATCCCCAGTTCCTCACAGCCTGGAGCATTCCAGCTGCTGCAGCATCCAACCTGGGGGTTCATTCTGTCCAAGGGGCTGAGTGGTTTAAATTGGTCACTGAGAACTGGCTCTGGATTTCCTGAGGGTTTCTGTATAGGAATGTATGGTTTTATTACTCCTGAATCCATAAGGATGCTTTGGGATAATATTTTCCCCTCCTAAACTCACCCTAAGGTGAGTGGGAACAAGAGTTGCCTCACACTGTGTCAGGGCTGAGGCATATGAGTTGTGTTTATGACTTATGATGGGATTTCTAAGCACAGGAAACCTGATTGTTCTTTATTTATCCCAAGTGAGAATGAGAAGTCTCAGTTTGCCAAAGTTATCTCTGTCTCTATGTGCTGCTTCTCGGCACAGCAGGATGCTGTGGCTCTGCCAAGGCTCAGTGATCCCTGTCTGGAGTGGTGAGGGCTGGGTGAAAAGGTTGGAGATGCTTTTTCCATCCAAATCAGTGGCAGAAAAGCTCAGGGTTTGAGGATGCAAACTTGTGTAGGAAGTGTCAGCTTTCTGTGGAACACTTTGTCTCTTCAAGAAAAACAACCACCAAAAAAGCCAAATGTGGAGTGTTTGTTTTTATCTCTGGAAATATTTATCAGTTTACTGAGGTGGGGGAATAAGACTTGTCCTATCCTTCTTCCACAACTGCTGATGGATCTGGTGGGGGTCACGTTTGATCCTGCTGTGCCCAAGGTCTCATCCCAAGGGATGCTGAGGATGCTCAGCCCATA